CCCGAAGGACGTATTAACTCCTAACTATGAAATATTCGTGAAATATACCTGAATACCTGAACTATACCTGACATATACCTTCATACCTGAAATATACGTGAAATATACTTGAGATATACCTGAATGATACCTGAATACCTGAAAAATACCTGAAATATGCCTAAATTTTACCTGTATACCTTAATGAGATCTAAAATATACCTGAATTATACCTTAATTATACCTGAAATATACTTAAATAATACCTGAGATATACTTAGATTTTACCTGAAATATACTTGAATTATACCTGAAATATATAGAACGTGTCAATATGTTCTGTGAGAATGATATTACGACCGAATGACCTTGTTGACGCCTTCTGAGGTCTGGTGTGAGGATGGTGAATGGTGGATGAGGGATGTAGAGTGGATGGATGATGGTGGATGAGGGGTAGAGAATGGAAGATGGGTGATAGATGGAGGAGGGTAGGTGAAGGATGAGGAAGAGAAGATAAAAAAGTGGATGAAGGTACATGAAAAAATAATAAAAGATGGGGAGTGGATGAGGGTGGATGAAGGTGGATGTAGGTGGATGAAGGAGGAAACATTTAATACTCAGAACTCAGCTATCGTATTATGCATCTTAATTTGACCATTTTTTCATCAGTCGTCTCTTTAAGGTTAACCAATTGGGTAGAGGCTTTCAAACAGTACACAAAATGGAGGTGAACACACACACACACACACACACACACACACACACACACACACACACACACACCTTCCATCTCACCCCTCACGTCCTCCTCCTGTCCCACCACCTCCCCTTCCTCCACCCCTCATCTCCTAGCTCCTCCTCCCCGTCACCTCCACCCTCACCTCTTACTCTCCCTCATCTTCCTCCCTCACTCTTCCATCACACACACACTACTACTACTACTACTACTACTACTACTACTACTACTACTACTACTACTGCTACTACTTCTACTACTACTTTGCTGTCACTCGGAATCGAGTATGACGATCATCCAGCTATGATACAATGATATGAGTTATTAAGGATGTCACCTTCATTGGTGAGTTTTGAGGTGACTAAAGAGGCCGATACCGGACCGGCAGGGTCGATCACAGAAGTTGCATATGTGGGGGGCTACATATAATGCAGGAGGGGCGGCGGCAGCGTCTTTCCGGCGTTGGTGCTTGTCTGCCTCGGTTTGCAGTTGGGCTAACTCGAAAGTATTGACACCTTCTCGTGTGGTGCTCCTCCAAGCGTTACTGTGTGGAGTGACAGTCTCCCAGGTGAGGGGGTCAATTTGGCACCTTTTCAGGTTTGTCTTAAGACTATCTTTATACCTTTTCAGTTGCCCGTCAGCATTACGTTTACTATTCGTTAGGTGACTGTAAAGTAGCTGCTTTGGCAGTCTACTGCCGTCCATGCGGGTAACATGGCCAGTCCAGCGTAGTTGTTCATGGATAATGGTAGCCTCGATGCTTCTCCAGTTGGTGTCAGCAAGAATACCGGCATTTATTCTCTTGTCTTCCCAGCAAACTCGGAGGATGGAACGTAGACTACGTTGGTGAAAGTTTTCAAGTGCCTTGAGGTGCCTCCTGTATGTGACCCATGTCTCGCTGCCATATAGCAGGGTGGGGAGGACCACTGCTCGATACACACACACACACACACACACACACACACACACACACACACACACACACACACACACATATTCCCTCCATCAAAAAACAACCACCTATTTACCCCAAAACTATAATATTTTCCCCCTTTTTCCTGCCCTGGGTACAACGAACCTGTTTCTTTACGCTGCTGGTCGCTCCACTTATCAGGGACGAGGCATTCATTTATGACCAAATTGTCGTTGCCTGTTAAATTGCCCTGAAATTAAATTCTACATGTTGGTGGTCGGGAAATACCATAAAAAGAGTGGACCAGTGAATCAAACTCAACTATGTATGAGAAGGGAGAATGCATAAGGGGTGGAGTGAGGGCTGGAGTGGGTAGTGAGGGCTGCAGGGGGGAGTAAGAGGTAGGATGGAGCGGGGAGGGGGGTGAGGGCTGAGATGGCAGGAAGGGGTGGAGCGGGTAGTGAGGGCTGGAGGGGTAGTGAGGGCGGGAGGAGGTAGGAGGGCTGGAGGTGGTAGTGAGGGCTGGAAGGGGGAGTGAGGGCTGGAGGGGGTAGTGAGGGCTGGAGGGGGTAGTGGGGACCGGAGGAGGGAGTAAGGGCTGGAGAGAATAGTGAGCGCTGGGAGAGGTAGTGAGGGCTGGGAGAATGTGAGTAAGGGTTAGGAGGGGATAGTAAGGGCTGGGAGAGAGGGCTGGGAGAGAGCAGTAAGGGCCGACGAGAGGGACCAACACACTCCCATTCCAATGTTTATATTTTTACCAAGTCGAAGCCGTAGACGTAAAAACCGAACGAGTAGAAAATGGCAGACCGCGAAAACACTCAACTAAAATATGAAACCCGAATCTCTATAATTTTCCCTCAATCTGATATCAAACGGAAATACAAATTGACGTAGATTCATTATATATATTTGTAACTCGTAAACGCGAATTATATGGAGACGCGAGGTACATGGAATCACTTATTCGAGAATAATGATATTTTGTTATCAGATTCAGTCATTATCTTACTTACAATGTAATTTAATGTACTCCTACAATAGGCATTAATATTTCTCATTGATATATATACCCAGTACACTACACACAGTAAACTGACCAGAAGCATTGTGGTCTAACTTCAATATATGATTCACATTATATACAATAGTCTTATATAAGTTGGGACTAAGAACACGTGAAAATAAAGAAATAGTCTTGAGTAATGTTTCTAAATAGTTAGTAACTACTGATCTCCCTCTTGCGTCGTGTATGGAAACTAAAGAACATATATTTCGTAACTAAGGCCGTAGGTAACGTGATCTTGAAGAGTCCTCCTTTATAAAACACCCAGTGACCTACCCAAGATTTTACGTTTTCTCTAATGTCATACTCTGAGATTTTGCTCCGTTTTCTTTCACAGAATTTTATGACTAACTCTTGTAAATATGTCTTTTTACCGGGACAATACGTATGGTGATAATGGTATAGATAAACATGTAAATAGATAATATCAATACAGCAAAACTGGGTAACTACTCGTTTTATTCACAACTTGTGTTTTTTTATTATTAAAATAGTGTTTTATTTTGTGTTTTGTTGTGATTTTTAACGAATATTTTAAGAGGTTAATGTTTATTTAATGAGATATGACCTCATTAACACTCGTATCCACAATCATAGAATTCTTAATGTTCACTATGCATAGAATAAGAGTCTCTAAAATACACTTATCCCTTGTTACTAATCTTCCATCGGTTTAATTATCGTTTCGCTGGGGACCTATTTGGAAGTAGATCAGAATCGTTCAAAACACTTCAAAATCCATCGCAAAAACATGATTTTAACCTAACCTAGCCTAGCCTAGCCTAGCCTAGCCTAACCTAACCTAACCTAACCTAACCATACTGTAGCCAAGGTCAAAGCACACAGGGAGGTCGAAATTTTCCTGATAATTATAACACAAAACAACACGAAGATCACCTGAAGATCAAACACCCTAAAGTTAACCTAACCCAATCTAACCTAACTTAATGTAATCTAACTCAATCTAACCTAACTTAACCTAATCTAACAATAATCCAACCTAATCTAACCCAACCTAACGTCATCTAACCTAACCAAACGCTACACTAACCTAACCTAATCAAACCTAACCTAACCCTAACCGAACCTAAATTCCCCAGGTAGCGTTAAGGTGTTAAATCATCAGGAAAAACAAACTGGCGTGGGTGGGGGTCTAATCTTCACGTGATCTTCATATACTTGTCAATGTAACTAGTAATTTTATCAACACAATGTATATACAACTATTGATAACTTTAATACCTTGTTGTTCCTGAAGACTTGAGGGCGTCATTTCCATAAAACACAATAATCCAATCCTATAACGACACAGAGACACTAATCAATCCTTCCCTCACAACGTCTAGAGTGCAACTGATAGCTCTCATTACTTCACCTGCACTTAACTATACAAATACGTGTTTTGCCTCCCAGCTGACCAATAAAATCCAGGATTTAAGGCAAAACTACTGTGAGTGGTAGTTCGGTAGTTACAGTAACACTTTTGGCCTCATCAATTTCACAATACTGAATGATATTGATGTTTGTTTGTTTGTTTGTTTATATAAAAATGTGGCATTAGTGTTTTTTGATAATTCTTAAGGTGGATGAAATTCCTTTTAGGTTAGGTTAGGTATATATAAGAAAGATAAGGAATTTACCAAGTAACTCTTCAGTCTTCTCTTTGTATTCGTATTATTGATAAGACTGAATTTATTTGCATATTATTATTATTATTATTATTATTATTATTATATTGTTATAATTTTGTTTAATTTTTTTTTTAGTATCATCAGTATTTTAATTTTCTTGTGTCTTTATCAGTATTATTTGCTTTTATCATTATCTGTTAACCTTATCATCAATATTCATCATCATCGGCATTTTCATCATTATGTTATCCTTACCATCATTATCATCATCAATCATTATTATTATCATTATCATCATCATTCAGTATCATCATAATCATTATTCAGTATCATCTTTATTATTCATCATCATCATTATCATCATCATTCATCAACCCTTGCATGAATTTTCTTAGCAACGTCATTATCAATACATCATTATATAAAGCATCATTATATCATCAATTAATATCAGTATCATCATTATCATATTTCCATCATCATTCTTTTCATCATAATGTTTTATCATTATTTCCATCATAATCATCACCCGTCATCATACTTTTAACAGCAGTCATTTTCATTATCATCATCATTAGTACCTTCATTATCGTTAGTAGCATCATTAATAACATCATATAATCATTGTCATCATCATCACATCATCATAACAAAAGGGTTGCCATAGAAACCACCAAAGACGAAGATAAATACATTTATTCAACTCTACATGTACAAAGATTTCTGTCCTCACGCCAATGGAACTCTAATAAATATAGATGAAACAATGTGTAGTAGAAAGTGCACAAGTCCTCCACCGCTGTCCCTCAAGTTTAGTATAGGTTGCTGGATCGTTTATAAGAAACAAGTGACTATCGCCAGCAGAGGATCGAGCGACTGATTGAATCCTACGTAAAAGATTACTCTGTTTTTTTTTTGTGTGTATGTGTATGTTTGCACCATCAATAAAAAGCATTGTTACACGCGGGTTTGTTTCAAAACTGTATAATTATTATTATTATTATATTATTATTATTATCATTAAACTAAATGGTCAATTAGATTCCCTTTTGTGCCGTATAGAACACCTCTACAGACTGGTCACGAGATGGGCGTTTGTGTGTTGATTTTTCCCTCCCATTTCATTTTTTTTTTTTTTTTTTTTTTAGTGGGGAAAGGGAAAGGGAAAGGGGGGTTCTAGAAAAGAAATAAACCCCATCTCGTGGCGGAGTCTCCGAGGTTCACATTGACAGAGCAGGTACAAGCGTTTCGGTCACTCGGGTAAAGCAACGCCAAGGAAAATTGTCTCGGTCTTCACTAACGACACTAAAAAAGGATTCGGCTTCACAATGATTTGTAAACAACATTAATAAAAATCAGCATTCGGTACAGTCATTGTTTTTGTTTTTTTGTTTTTACAAGTAAAGATCATTTCATTTCACTACCTTAATGACAATAAAAACTGTGCATACGATTAACAACGGGATGACCCCAATTCAAGAGTACAGAACACAGATGTTTTTTTACACATTAGCTCTGAGCGAGGGAGGCAGCAAGCAGCGAGTGGCAGGTGGTATTGTCCACCCTGTCGAGTGTCTGTCAGTCACCTTGGCCGAGTGTCTGGCGCCTCAGGTGAGTGTCTGACGCCCTAGCCAAGTAGTCTGGCACTCTCGCTGAGTGTCTGACACCTAGCCGAGTGTCTGACACCTAGCCGAGTGTCTGGCACCCAAGCCGAGTGTCTTGACACTCTAGGAGTGTCCGAGAACTTAACTAAGTGTGTGACGCTCTACCCAGGAAGTCATAGGACCACTCAGCCAAGGGTAGAGTCATGTGGCAGTCTAACTCCTCAAGGGCCAAGTTGAGCTCTCAGCTAAGGAGGTTTTGTCGGGTCAAATGATCACTCGGCAGGAAGTTCTGTAGCCAAGTGGCTTTTCACCCAGCTGACTGCCTATCCACTCAGTCAAATAGATACTCAGCCGAGCCTATCCACTCAGGACGAGTATCTATTCACTAAGATTACAGTCAGTCAGTCAGCCAATTACCTGTCCACCTAACCATTCTGTCCATGTAGCCAAGATCTTGGCTGGAGTCTACAAAGCAGCACGCGTTGGTCAGCCTTACCCTGTCGCATCCACCTTCTGGTCAATGACGTGGTACAGAGCCACGTGCTGGAGGCCAGCCTACTACCACAGCTGTTGTGGGGTGTCACGCCCACCCTCAGGTCCTGCGCCATTACACGCGGTTTTCATATTCACAACAAAGATAAAATAACCTTACTGGAGTAGGACCTGAAGGCCGACGTCACACAACACTGGATATCAATGTAATAATTCTTAGTGTGCAGTGTTGATCTATTTCCAACAGACCTTCACAACTGCTCGTCCAAGAAATAGATTTTCACATAAAAAATAAACAATCAGAATCATTAAAAAAAAGTTTAAGGAATCAAGTTATTTGGTGCAGAGATGGGGCTTTTGTAGAGTGTCGGCATAACCATTGATTGTACAAATTTGGGATAAAAGTTCATATCAGTTATAATCTATCGTTACATATACAAATATAAACTATCTTATGTACACTATATACAAGGCAGAACTGGTCCAAAATGCAGCCCTGACGGTCGCCACCACTTGTTGTACCGTCTTGCTGGAGTGCATTTTAGTCGCTATCTTTGGTTTTATTATGAAAAAGAGGCTTCAGCTACTACAACATGGAGAAGCTGAAGCCTGTATTATGAAAAGCCCGAAGTTTACATATGAAGCCCTAGGTGACAACATCATGGGAGGTCTAAAGGGAGGCTTCAGCCCACACACTATGGTAAGCTTCAGCCCACACATTATGGTAGACTTCGGCCCACACACACACTATGTAAGGCTTCAGCCCCCATACACACACACACACTATGGTAACCTCCAGCCCACACACTATGGTAGGCCCTGTGACTTAACACCATGATGAACCCCAAAGACAACATACAATGAGCCTGAAAAACCTAAATATGAGAGCCCGAAGCCCACTTTAAACTGATAATTAAAGCCCAGAACACTAATGCTCCTTAATGAAGAAATGAAGAACAAAAAAATATGAAGGAAATCAACAAGAAAGAAGAGAGAGATTATGCATTTGACCCTAAAGCGAAGACATGACACTGGGAGAGGAAGTTGGTTTAGAAAAAAAAAAGGACAAAAAAAAAACCCACCACGACTTCTTGTTTTTCTTTCCAGTGTGTGTGTGTCTGTCAGGTCAAACTAGCCTCTCTTTCGGCCCAAATACTGACAGGTGAAAGATTCTCTAAATATGGCACAAACTAACCCTATGACAGACCGAGAAAGTTATATATATTAATTTTAAGACAAATAATTCACAAAACCGAAACAATACGAAAAAAAAAATGAAAAAAATTTACCTTGACATTACAAAAAATAATAATACCTAGACAGATAAACCGAAAATGGAATCCTAGAAGTGTAAATAAAAATAAGTTTTCAATTATCGAAGTAAAAAATAAAGGAATGTGGCCAAAACAAACAAGAAACTGACGTCATCTGTTGACACGATGACGTCATCGCCAGAAGAGGGAAACAAAAATAATTATAAAGTAAAATAAGATAAATTAGATAATACTGATGTGACCAGCGACAAGGGGAGGGAGGGCTCTGTGCTAGTGGGTGGCTCTAATGGCTCTGTGCTAGTGGGTGGCTCTAATGGCTCTGTGCTAGTGGGTGGCTCTAATGGCTCTGTGCTAGTGGGTGGGCCTAAGGACTCTGTGCTAGTGGGTGGGTCTAAGGACTCTGTGCTAGTGGGTGGCTCTAAGAACTGTGCTAGTGGGTGGCTCTAAGGGCTTTCTGCTAGTGATAGCTCTAAGGACTCTGTGCTGTGAGTGGCTCTAAGGACTTTGTGCGAGTGAGTGGCTCTAAGAACTCTGTGCTAGTGGGTGTCTCTCAGCGCCTACATTATGAAACAAAACAAGTAAATAAACTAATTTCTTTTATGGACTCGAAATGTTTGAAGTCAACACAACAAATTAGTATGAATAAAAGGTTTAAAGAGCCACTAAAATAACTTTACAAGACTACAAACGTTTAAATAGGGATAAATTAATCCCGAAACTAGCTCGTGGAAAGTTTAAACGTTGATTGAGCCACCTAGCAAGGCCTCACCACCTAGCAAGGCCTCACCACCTAGCAAGGCCTCACCACCTAGCAAGGCCTCACCACCTAGCAAGGCCTCACCACCTAGCAAGACCTCACCACCTAGCAAGACCTCACCACCTAGCAAAACCTCACCACCTAGCAAGACCTCACCACCTAGCAAAACCTCACCGCCTAGCAAGGCCTCACCACCTAGCAAGGCCTCACCACCTAGCAAGGCCTCACCACCTAGCAAAACCTCACCACCTAGAAAGGCATCACCACCTAGCAAGGCTTCACCACCTAGCAAGACCTCACCACCTAGCAAAACCTCACCACCTAGAAAGGCTTCACCACCTAGCAAGGCCTCGCCACCTAGAAAGGCTTCACCACCTAGCAAGGCTTCACCACCTAGCAAGGCTTCACCACCTAGCAAGGCCTCACCACCTAGCCCTCAACCTCACCCTCCTATTGGTCGGTATCTCCTGAGAAAACGGGGGTCATTCGGGACAAGAAGGTCATAAGCAACACCTAGCTTAAGGTCGGTTTTTTGGTACTAATAACACTCGCATGTCAACCATTACTGAGTCTTTTTGATTACATTTAGCTCACTCAGTCTCTCTCAAACAACAACATAACAGGAGAAGTCAACATAAACAAGAATAACAAAAACAAAAGCAATAGGTGTTGTTGTTTACAGAATTCCTAAAACCGGATAATATCTGGTTGAGTGAGAGATGTGAACCGTTTATCCGAACTCGATGGTATAGATGAGTCCGGTTGATGAGTCCGGTACACAGATCCGATTTAGTTGAGGTGGACTTGTAGGAGTGTTCGGATGGTGCCACTGTGTTCGGTGATCATGTTCGAACAGCGGTGATGTGTGTGTGTGTGTGTGTGTGTGTGTGTGTGTGTGTGTGTGTGTGTGTGTGTGTGTGTGTGTGTGTGTGTGTGTGTGTGTGTGTGTTATGAGTCTCTTGTGATATTCTTCAATAAAATTCTAGTATCAGTTCCTATTAAATTCATATTCCAGAACATTACAATAAATTCACTAAATCTTAATGCATAACAACAATAATAATAATAATAAAAAAAATAAAAAATCGAATAAATGTGTTTTAGAAATTAAGTAAACACAAGTTAATAATCACTGGAAGGAACCTCCTCTACCCTGAACTCAATACCACTGAGAAAAATAAACCAAACCTGTAGACTACTGATCAAGGAACCGTACACATGTGAACGTTCTCTGAAGATGTTGTCTCTACACCTGTAGCTTAGAACACACAGTTTGATTATTATTATTATTATTATTATTATTATTATCATTGAAAGTCGGCAGCCACCCACATAGACAGTTCGGATGTCCCTGAGGTGAAGGGCTAGCCATCTTTGCACCAAATACCTTTCATTATCTCTCTCTCTCTCTCTCTCTGACTAATGCATTACAAATCAACACACTATGCCGGACCCGCCTATAAGACACAACTCAAAATGTTTATTATCTGGGTAAAGAAATAACACATCTGGGAGAGATCATCTGGTTTGGGTGTTCTCCTGCCGGGGGGGGGGGGTGATCTGGTGGAGGCAGGTCTTCCGACGCCTCACACAAGTGTTGAGCAAAAGGCTGCACTTAGGAATTAACTGATGATTGACTAATAACTTAGTAACGTCAAATAACTTTCAATTATTATGTCGTGGGTCGTTTAGTTAACTTTTGGAGATAGAATTTATTTTCTTTCTTTTTGGCTCCTCGTGGTTGTTGTGTTGTTCTCAGCTGTTAGTGGCACTGTGCGGGTCAGCTGTTGGTGGCACTGTGCGGGTCAGCTGTTAGTGGCACTGTACGGGTCAGCTGTTAGTGGCACTGGCACTGCAGTGGCTGGTACACCGGCCCCCACTGTTGTGACCAGTCAAGGTAGGACAACATACTGTACACTACACAACACATAACATCAATAGGAACAATGGCCGAGTGTGGGCGTGCTGCTGCTGCTGCTGCTGTCACCCTCGCACAACACACAGGACTAGCTTGTTGAGGCGCCCACTGCCGCGTGGGGCGGGACGGGCGCCGCTCACTGGGAAGTCACGTGACGCGAGGTGTGGGAATGTGCGGGCTACGCCACCCGCCCTGCCGCTGCTGCCGCCGCCACTGGTCAGGTGGGCGGCGCTGGGGCTCGGGGCGGCGTCCCTGGGGGCCGCGGCGCTACGGGCGACGTCCAGGGTGGCGCCGTTGGAGCCAGGGGGCCAGACATCCCCCTAAGCAAGAGCGGGGGCGGTGGGCGGCTAGACGCCACCCAATGGTGGGTGGCTGCCCTGGGAAACCCCATGGATGGGGGGGCGAGCCCTTGGGTCCCTGGCGGCGGCAGTTGGGACGCAACCAAGGGGGCCCAATCTCAAGACCCGGGGCCCGACAAATTTGAGGAGTCTCCTGTATCATCGTTGGAGGTGTTGGCGGCGGCGGCGGCGTTGAAGTGAGGGGAGAAGAGACTACCAGATTTAGAAGAGTCGTCGCTGATGACAGGTGTGAAGTGCAGACCCTTGTAGGAGTCGAGCCCCTCGTGAGCCCCAGCAGATAGTGGGGGGAACAACCCTTTCTTATTTTGATTCACAACACATTTACGCATATGTTTTTCTAAGGTGGAGGCGACACTAAATGGCATATCGCAGAACCGACAGCGGTACACATCCTTGCCCATGCGGCCATGCGTCTTCATGTGCCGCGTTAGCTTTGAACTTTGGGCGCATGCGTAACTACACAGGTCGCACTTGTAGGGCTTCTCTCCCGTGTGAGAGCGTCGGTGAACTGTTAGGTTCGAGCAGTTTTTGAACACTTTGCCACAGTATTCACATGTGTCGTTCCTTCGGCTCTCTTTCTTTGGTGGTGGGACGAGGGAAATAGGCGTCCCCGGCGCCGAACTCGTGCCGGGTTTCGGCAGAGACCCAGGGATATCGCCTGGCTTTAAGGAACCCTCCGTCAGTAGTTTCCTGTGTAAAAAGTTCGCTTCCGCCGTCGGCATCCCGGGGAATAAGTCTTTGGGTGAACCTCCTGTCCCTGCCAGGTTTGGGAGCCAGAGTCCAGCGTACAGGCTTCCGTCCCTCTGAGCTTGGACTAAACGCTTCTGGGCATCGTATGGATTATCGAAGGCTCCCAGGAGTGTCTGGTGAGCCACATCGAGAGCAGGATGAGTACCCATCAACCCCTTTGTCAGATCGTCTCGTAGCTTCAGTTTTTCGATGCCATTAGTGCGGACCTTCTCGCCGTCCTTCCCCATAGGATGGTGAGTAAGACGACCAGATTCTTTTAGTGCCTGGTGGTAAGCCTCGCTGTAAGCGGAGATGTTCGCTAAACCAAACTTATCCATAAGTTCGCCTACGACGGATTTTTGTTGGTCTCCCCTCGAGAGTTTGTGGTTGTCTGCCGTGCTGGAGGAGACGCTCTGAGAGGTGGGCACCGGGGTACTCTTGGAGGTAGTGGAGAGGTCTTCAGGTTCATCGTCGTCCATGTCTTCTTCTGCAATATCTTCTTCTTCTTCGTCCCCACTATCACAAATGGAAGGGTTATCGTCGTCTTCGTCAATTTCTTCCTCCTCTTCTTCTTCCTCTTCCTCCTCTTCCTCATCATTATCGTCCTCAGTCTGAGGGCGTGAGGAGTCTGGGGAAGCGCTTTCCGTGCTTGAACTCTTCTTGTGTGCTTTCATATGCAAGCGTAATTTTTGTGGTGTGGGTAATGTTTCATGACACTTTGGGCAGCGGTAGTCCTTCTCGCCTGTGTGAAGCCTCTGGTGGATGGCCAAGTTGCTCTCCCACCGGAAGCACTTGCAGCAAGTCATGCACTTGAAGCGACGCTCGGGAACCATCATGGCCGGGTCAGTTCGGGTGGAGGTAGGTGTCTGGGAGGGCGCTAAGCTGGAGGGAGTAGGAGCATTAGGTGAGGCGAAAGGTGGTGTTGGGAGAGGCTTGCGAGGCGAGGTGGAGCTGGTGGGACTGGTGGTGCCTGCCAGCTGCCGTAGCCGCTGGGAGTAGAAGTCAAGGTTGGGATCACCGCCTGAACTTAGGGGCGTGGGCGCCGCATGGCGGGGTGCGCCCAGCCCGGGGTCAAGAAAGGGCGGCCGTTCGAAGGGAGGCGGGAGAAGACCAGGGTTGAGGCGCAGTCCCTCCTGCAGGAGCTGGTCCATACGGAAGTCGTGGCCTGGCCGCATGAAGGGCGGGGCGAGACCTGGCGGAAAGGGAGCCCGGGCGTCCCCTAGAGGCACCCGAAGTAGGTTGAAGGGGTGGTTAGGGTCCAGCAGGGGCGCCGTCACGGGCGGGTGGGGCGGCAGGGGCGTCGTGCCTGACGATACTGGTGTTGAGATCTTGCTCAGATCCACCTTCGACAAGTCCACCTTCGTTATGTCAACTTTGGTGAGGTCAACCTTGGAGGGGTCGAGTAGCTGGAGGGGCGGTAGGTGAGGCCCCGAGGCCGTGGTGGCCGTGGAGGACACAGAGGCTAGCGGGGAAGAGTGGGAGGGCCTGGGTAGACCCGGAGGCGTGGAGGGCGTGGAGATGGGAATGCCTATCGATGTCTCCTGGTAGATGATGATGCCGTGCGAAGACTGGACGTGTTGCACCAGGGACCAGGCTGACCCCAGCACGGCACCACACGTACCACACACGTACCGCGCAGGTTCTGAAAGACAACGCCTTTGTTAGTATTGTATGCGGTGGTACAGTAAGACATTAGTAACATACATACAACATAAACTTGGAAATATTATCTGATAAATTTTAGCAGCTGGCTAAAATTTATGGCATCTCAAAAAGTCTAGGACGAAACGCAAAAGTAAAAAATCTATAATTTACACAAGAAGGTATAATAAAAAGACATTATAATTTAAAATAAAACGAAATAACATTTGTTCCATAAACCAAGAACTAAAAATTATAAAGAGAAAAACCCACATCAATAATATGTATTAATATTAAATCTTCGGCACAAGAGCCTAAACACTTGAGCTCCACCACCACCACCACCAGCAGGAGGAAGAGGCCGCCGTCACCGCCTACAGCCAATCTACCACTACTCCCGAGAGACACCAACGTCCTGTCGATACAATTCTACCATGAAAGAACAATGCAATTTCCACTCGCCTCTGCCACCTACTTATACAACTGACCAAGGATAATGCATCAGGCTGAGGGACCGTCGCGTCTCGATATGACCGTCTTGTTTACTGCCACCAAACACCCCGACACACCCTGGCTTAAAGTTCTCCTGACGACATGTTCCTCTAACACCAGCATCTTGTATATCAGTGGTTATAGGTATAATTAAGACACAAGAGAAGATAGGAGTTTGTAAAGAGAGAGAGAGTGTGTAGCCAGGAAGAGGAGGTGGTGGAGGTGTGGGTGCAAGAGTCGAGACGAGTTAGTGTGTGTGTCCCGTGGGTGCTTCCCTGCGCCTCCCCCACAACAAACTCAGCCAAACTTTCCAGACACTGTCCAATAAACACATTCACGTGCTTCCCTCACGCCCTAAATATACATTGAGGTATTCTAACATATATAAAACATAAAGTCCAGTTTTTAACGTTACCCTGAAGTTCATAAATCAATTTGTTTTGTTTTTTAGCCATATACCCCAAATAATATTTATTGGTAATACTGTAACAATCATAATACTGCGCATCTGGTAACACTGTATCAACATAAATACTACGCTTTTTGGTAACACGACATAACCATAAACCTGAGCTTCTGGTAACACTGTATAACCAAAATCTTGCTCTTCTGGTAACACTGTCAATCCAAATGCCAAATGTCTCCTTCTGTACACTAAAAGGGAACACCAGCAGTACACACTTCCCAGACACATGAACACACATTATTTCTACACAATATGGAAGAGACAAACAAAGACTCCTCAGACCTTACACAGGCAGCGGAAGTGACAGCGGCTGGCACACACACACACACACACACACACACACACACACACACACACACACACACACACACACACGGTGAGAGAATATACTACAGTCACGGTTTTAGTCTCAGGATAATTCTGACGCCATCTTAAGAATCGTTAGTTAAATGACCAAACTTGGGAGTTCTTACGTCTTCAGTTAGGTTAGGGGTAGGTTAGGTTAGGGGTAGGTTAGGTTAGGGTAGGTTAGGTTAGGGGTAGGGTAGGTTAGGTTAGGGGTAGGTTAGGGTAGGGGTAGGGTAGGTTAGGTTAGGGGTAGGTTAGGGCGAGGTTAGGTTAGGTTAGGGGTAGGTTAGGTTAGGTTAGGTTAGTGTTTATTATTGGTTATTTTCCCGTGAGACCAGACCAGCAAGGTAAAAAAATTGGTCCAAAGATTATTATCGACGTTTTGTCCCTGGGTAATAGTCGACCTGGGCGTAGTGCAGGGGGAGTGTCTTAACTTATTAATATTTGGGTGATGGTGGGTGAGTGGGTGGTTGGGTGATGGTGGATGTTGGCGGGTGTTGATAGTGGGTGAGACGGGCATAGTTCTATTTGGAAATCGTTGTATGAGGGAAGAACTTGCAGAAGATGTAGTTAAAAGAGGAATGCTCGCTGAGGGAAGGTCATCGTTGTAAATGAGCCTTTCTTCAAGTTACCTAAATGTAAATGAATAAAAATCGATTTGGTTGTAATTGTAAAAAGAATATGAATCGATTTGGTTGTAAGTGTAAATTAATATAAATCTATTTGGTTGTAGGTGTAAATGGCTGTACTAGCGCTTAAGTGCTCCACATAAGTGTTATAGAATTAAGCAGAATTAAGTGGCAAAAACTATAGCTGCTCTACATGGGGGAGGGTGGCAAGAGGGGGTGGGGAAGGAGGGAGGGGGCGGTGAGGACAGTAGTAGGGTCTGAAGGTTGGAAGGGGGGCAACTGAGCATGTGTGACGCTCCCCTTCTCTCCCTCCCCTAAATTCACCCATCCCACCCTCCCTCTCTTCTATCTGTGTACACCTGCCTAGACAGTTATCTCTCTCTCTCTCTCTTCTGTTTCCCGGAAATTTCATCAACCCAATTTACCCTTCTCTCTCCTTGTATTTCCACCCCATAACAACTGGTAATTTGTAGCTATATTTCCATTGGGGATTAATATTGGTTATTATTTAGTCTTATTAATGGAGGGAATTAGATATCTTTATGTGGTTTATTAAGTGGAGAGAGTTCGTTGTGTTTTTGGCATTGTGATTATTTTTGATGTGTTTTGTGATCGTTTCCCCTACTGTGTTATTGTTATTATTGTTATTATTACTATTATTATTATTATTATTATTATTATTATTATTATTATTATTATTATTATTATTATTATTATTATTATTATTATTATTATGGACAGTTAAGGTGTAGAAAGTAATATTCTTTTTTCATGAACAAGGAACATACGGAACACCACCATGAACACGGAACAATCACGCCCAATATGTTACCCTCCTCCACCCACCCACCCACTCAGCCACCCATAACAAAAAACTACACGAGTCTAAGCACCCATGAGAGAGAGAGAGAGAGAGAGAGAGAGAGAGAGAGAGAGAGCAAAAATAATGATGTTTATGCAAATTGGTGTGTGAGCGACATGCGTGGATGTGGTTTGTTCTTGTGCGTCACCAGCCAGCCTGGACACTATTGTCTTGGCCCCAGTGTAGCCACAGACCGACAACCTCCCGCCCCCCGTCCATGCTCTCTGCTTTACCGGGGACACCAACTCATTAATCAACTTTCTCTGTGATATATTACTCTATAAATATAAAATACAATAACTAGTATATGTGGGAGTTATTTATGATGTGTAAGTGTCGTGGTTGTGGTAAATCTTTGATATGAACAGTGGAGGGTCACACGGGTGAGAACAGTAGTCCACCTTGGCGACACTGTCTTCCACGCGACACAGCCTCCAACATCCATCTCCGAATCACTGAGAAACTGACTTTGGTTACGCGTTCTGCCACCTTGTATATTTCATCTGTCGTATTATTCGTAACACACAACTTATTTCCCTCAAATTACCGCTAAAAATCGTAAAACAAAACAAAACGATCGCATTTATTGAACGGCAAGAAGCAATTTAAACCTCAACCCGGTTTTATCGAGGCGGCGGAGCGAGCATCAGGGTCGTGTTGCGGTGAGGCGAGGTGGGCCACGGAGGGGCGTTGTTGGCTTGCTCGTTCCAGGATGTTCTCAGCACCAGGAAGCCTCGGTATGGTCAGCGGCGCTGTATTGAGGGGTAGGGGGAAAGAAGGGGAAGGGGGAGAGAAGGGGGAGGACAGGGAGGGAGGGAGGGAGGGGGGGACATCGATATCGGCAAATTATGCAACAGTGTATCAAGCGCTACTGATAAACTAGAGGAAATTGAGTCTTACGTAAGGAGAGAATTGAGGCGAGGTTCAGCAGCGAGCAAAACTGGAAGTCGTATCACATTTACTCTTGTCTTTACTTTTCTCTCTTCTCTGGTTATCGTCTATCTGACTTTTACCTTGATGAGTCCATTTTCATGCTATTTTTCCCTCCCCTCTCTCACTATCTCTCTCTCTCTCTCTCTCTATTTTCTTACTATCTCTCTTTCCCACTCTCTTACTATCTTTATCGCTATCTCTCACTATCTCTCTCTATTCTCACTATCTCATTTTCCCACTATCTCACTATCATCAGCTTTCTCTCTTTCTCATTATCTCTCTCTCATGAAAATTAAATTATTCCAGTAATTATAAGGAAAATTAACCTTTTACTTTGCTCATAATGTTTCCTTACCACAAACGAAACCTGTGGCTAAATTAGGTAAAAAGAACTCGTTATGTTGTCTTTTGGAGAATAAGTTCTTTAGTAATTCTTAATACGGATGAGAGAGAGAGAGAGAGAGAGAGAGAGAGAGAGAGAGAGAGGCACCCACCCAAACCAGTACTCATTCAGCCAGAGTACTTCCCTTCAACAAGTACTCAAGACAATTTCCCCAACTCACCCTCGCCAGCTTCTCTCTCTCTCCTCCCTTCGCTAGTACTCAGGTAGGATGGACTCTAGGTGGAGGTAGGGTGAGGGGAGGTACAGGTAGGTCAGAGGGGTAATAACGCTCGCCCCCCGGGTTCCTCTACTCTCCCCTCATTTTTTTGAACGATATTCGAGGGGAAACAAGTGACGTCGTGTTCCTGAGGGTGGATATTGGACATATCATTCCAGATGCCTCACATACCTGCCGCCAATCTCTGCAATACACCAAAACACGGGAGCCTCTGTCGACCCCCACACACACAATGTACTAAAGCTAGTTTCCCGTCGCTTTTTAAAGAGGATCTATAGTTGTGTCTTGCTTCTGATGCTCGTTTGTTTTGTTTTTCAGTTGTTTATATATACAAAGAGTATTTAGTACCTTGTATTGTTTTCTGATGCTTTATATTTGATCTGTTTATGTGTACAAGGAGGGTTAAGTTCCGTTTATCTTAATTCTGATGGTCTCAGTTCTGACGTTTATACTTACAAAGAGGATTCAAAATGTGTCGCTTATACTTACAAAAGGTTTCAAATACTATTTTTGTTGGGTTTCAAAGATACTTCGTGTTGTTTTCAGAGAGTAATACTGTTTTTTGTAGGTTGTGATCAGTTTTATATAGGATTAGATACGTTGTGGTTGTGATGCTCTCAGTCCTGTCGTTTATACCCACAAAGTCCTGCT